ATGTGCCCAGTGTGGGCACTCAGGGCACTCCAAGCCAGAACTTCTTTGCAAGCGGGGCACCCCTTAGAACTGTGTGTCCGGGGTGGGGGTCGGGACCCTTTAAGCGCAGCCCTCGGCTAGCCTGAGACAGTATCTCCATGCTCTAAGTCCTCCTTTTATGCCCTGCCGGCACTGCTTCCGGCCCTCCTTAAGCCCTGTTCAGAGTCCACTCAATGTGGACTTACTAGTTCGAACTAGCAAAACGCTAGTTCGAACTAGTTTTTAGTTCTAGATGCGTTAGTTCGAACTAGCTTAGTTCGAATTAACTAATTCGAACTAAGTTAGTTCGAACTAACTTTGTAGTATAGACATACCCCCTGAGTCTCTAGGAAGGGTTTGTATTATCTTTGGCCAGGTGACTCCAATTGTCTCTTTTGGATGCAGCCTCTGCTCCTGTGACCCAGGCATGTGTGGGCTCAGGGTTGGGTTCCTACAGCGCTGGGCCAGGGGAATCCAGCTAGAAACTGCAGCCTCCTTGTTTAGCAGAGAATCTTCCCACGGGACAACAGAACTGGTCGGAGGTCGCCAATTCCTTTCCCGGCAGTGGCACCTCGCTAAGGGAGGGAGCAGGCCCCGTGTTCTATGACCAGCCTCATCCTACTCAAGCCTTTTTCTGAGATCTTCTTGATCTTTTACCCACCCTGGCCTCGTGCGGCCCGGCCACGCCCTGCAGCATTGGGTCAGTGTTTGCTCAGGGCAGCCAAGCACCGCCCGCCGTGTTTGCTCGCTGGCGAACGCACGCGAATCTGATCCGTGCTGCCTGGTTACTGGGTGCTCAGCTGCATTCGGTGGGTGTGGGTCTGTTTGCCCAGCCACGGCCTGAAAGCATTAGCAGGGCCCCAAGCTCAGCGGGGCAGCGTGTGGGGGAGGCTGGCTTGGGGGTGGCTTTTAAAGGTGGAAATATGGCCAGTGACTCTAATGGAACAGCTGTGGGTGCCCAGTCCCTGGCAGGATTGGGCTCTGGCACCTGAATGTAACAGCCCCACGTCCACGCCCAGTTAGGGGCAGCACTTCAGAAGATGCCTCAGGACCAAGAATCTGCTTCCATCCCATGGGGCTGAAGTACGCCCCGGGACAGACCCAGACTAGCTGGCTGCCACACTCTAAGGGAAGGCAGGCCTGAGGATAATTAATAGCTGGCCTGAAGGAGCAGGCTAATCAGACACCTGCAGCCAATTAAAGCCTGTGGAAGCGGCTTTGAAAGGTTCCCCCCAGGCGAGGCAGGAGGAGAAGAGGGGCGGACTGAGAGGAGGAAGTGTGTTTGCGGAGAGCTGAGAAGGGAAAGATTCAGTCAGGTACCAGAGGAAAGGTTGAGCAATGCAGGAGCCCCTGAGGGAGTAAACACAACAGGGAATCACCCAGTGACTCCTCCCCTGTCACCCATTCCCAGCCCCAGACAAACAGAGGCCAGGAATACCCTCCCTGCCCATCCTGGCTAAGAGCCATTGATGGACACATCCTCCATGGACTTTCTCCACTGAAGTCTAGGAAGCAAGGCCCAGATCCACAAAGGTATTTAGGCTCCTAATGTCCATTGATTTCAATGAAAGTAAAGAGCCTATAACCCTTTATGGTTCTGGACCTAACGAGTGCACAGCTGGAGTGAGGTCAGGTGTCCCCAGGCACCAGAAAGATCTCTCTCTCTCTCTCCAGTCGCTCCATGTTCAAACTACAGGGACACAATTAGCCACGTAATCATCAAAAGGAATCCTGTCAGGTTTACGCTGTCGGCATAATCTCTGATCTCTTGGTCTCCTGAGTTGGGAATCGTAGAATACTAGGACTGGAAGGGACCTCGAGAGTCATCGAGTCCAGTCCCCTGCCCTCATGACAGGACCAAATACTGTCTAGACCATCCCTGATAGACATTTCTCTAACCTGCTCTTAAATATCTCCAGAGATGGAGATTCCACAACCTCCCTGGGCAATTTATTCCAGTGTTTGACCACCCTGACAGTTAGGAACCTTTTCCTAATGTCCAAACTAAACCTCCCTTGCTGCAGTTTAAGCCCATTGCTTCTTGTTCTATCCCCAGAGGCCAAGATGAACACGTTTTCTCCCTCCTCCTTAGGACACCCTTTTAGATACCTGAAAACTGCTATCATGTCCCCCCTCAATCTTCTCTTTTCTAAACAAACCCAATTCTTTCAGCCTTCCCTCATAGGTCATGTTCTCTAGACCTTTCATCATTCTTGTTGCTCCTCTCTGGACCCTCTCCGATTTCTCCACATCTTTCTTGAAACGCGGTGCCCAGAACTGGACACAATATTCCAACAGAGGCCTAACCAGCGCAGAGTAGAGCGGAAGAATGACTTTTCGTGTCTTGCTCACAACACACCTGTTAATGCATCCCAGAATCAGGTTTGCTTTTTTTGCAACAGCATCACACTGCTGACTCATATTCAGCTTGTGGTCCACTATAACCCCTAGATCTCTTTCTGCCGTACTTTTCCCGGACAGTCGCTTCCCATTCTGCATGTGTGATACTGATTGTTCCACACATTCAGAATACATGTTCTCCATCAGATGAGAGGCAAGTTCGGGTTTGAAGCCTGGCTCATGGCAGTGAAATTGGACAAACCTGGTTAGGTCAGAACTTTAGGTGAAAGTGAGGCACCTCTGCCATAGTCAGAGATTCAAGGTGACTTTTCAGAAGCACCTGTGGGACTTCGGCGCCTCCGTCCCAGATCTGCAAACTGCTGCTCAGCTCAGCATTGTGAACCCTACGTCTCCTTTTCCAAAGTGAGTCGGGCCCACCTTCCTTCTCAAGGCTCCCCGGCGCCTGACTCCTGCTGATTTCCTCTCTAAGGGTGCGTCTACATGGCAGTGTTATTCTGGAATAGCAGAGTCAGCGTCTGCACTACCAGCAGTAATTTCGACAATGTCAAGCTAGGGGACATCTCACTCCGACTTCTGTAACCCTCATTTTACGAGGAGCAAGGGGTGTCGGAGGAAGAGTGCTCTCTCGGTCTTCCTGCTGCGTAGACAGCGCCAAAAGCTGAATGAAGCCATTTCGACTTAAGCTACACAATTGACGTAGCTCAGGTTGTGTAGCTTATTCCGGCTTCAGCCCTGCTGTGAAGACGTTCCCTCACTGTCTTTGAGGACTGGGGCCTTAGGTCCTTTGGAGACTCCCATGAGTTTGAGGACTGGCGCCTTAGGTCCTTTGGAGACTCCCATGAGATGCTTATCGGCATCTTGTGGAGCCTAAATATCTTTAACAATCTGACCTGGAGAGGAGCTCAAGTGTCTTTTGAAAATGGGACATGGCTCCTACGTCCCTGGAGCACTCTTGGCATTTCACCTTTGAACTTATTTAGGTGCTAAAAAGCATGGGGTCAAGACTCCTCAAAATGGCTCCTGATGTTTCGGATGCCTGGTTTGAGACGCCTCCACGGAGCTCCGTGTTCGGAGGGTCGCCTGCTCCCTGCTTTCTACACCAGGCCCCTTTACGGTACCTCCGGCTGGACACTGAGAACCCCTAGTCACTTGTGCAATTACTGGCCTGAGGACACCAGCAAGAGTCCCCAGCCTGATCGGAGCCCGTTCAGAAGGGATGTGCCGCCGCTTGCCGTACAAGCTACAAGCTTAGGCCTCAGTCAGAAAATGGGAGCCAGTGGCAGTGATCTTGCTCTGGTGTTAGCAGGTGCAGCCCCTCTGTGAACACTGTCAGATTTGGGGTCGCTTGCACCCAGGGGACCCCAGGCAGTGTCTGCTCTGTGGCTGGCAGCCTGGACAGACAGGCTCAGGTGAGTGGGCTAAAACTAGCCCTGCGGATGTGGTGGGACAGGCCATGACTCAGGCTAGCTACCTGGGCAGGGGTTCAGACTGGCAGGCCCATCAATGGGGGAGGGGCAAATGGGGCCAATGCCCAGGGTCCTGGGGCTTCTGGCCACCACTGCTGCAGTGCACAGGCTGGTGGAGCAGGCAGCATGGTCTGGGCAGTGCTGAGGGCTGGCTGCCCCTGGCCCCGCCCCCTCCCACCTTTCCCAGGAGCTCTGCAGACAGGCTCAGATGCAGGTAGCAGGTAGCTAGCCCGAGCCACCGTCCATGGTGCAACGCCTGTGCTGGTTTTCCAGTGGGCTGACTGCAGCCGAGCTAGCACGTCTGCCCGCCCAGGCTGGTCGCAGTGCAGACACGCCCACAGAGAGCCATGCAGCGACAGAGCGGGATTGCTCCGCGGAGGCGCTGACCGTGGGTTAGTAGCAGGGAAGCTGCAGAAAGGTGTGAAGGGAATCGTTAAACCGGGGAGGCATCACAAAAGGAAGAACCAGCTCTGGGCCTGATGGGAACACCCGGATTTCAAACCATTCATACCCCAGAGTTGGGGAAGGCTACACATGCACATGGGGAGGCGGTGGGGGGCTAGGAGGACACATCCCCTGAGCAGGTTATCCTATGATTGGCTAGTGCGGCCCCTGAAAGAGCTGGTCCCGGCCACTCCCAGAGAGGTCCCTGGATTATATGGGCCCCTCCTGTGACCCAGCCTGGCCAGGCCTTTGTTCCTCAGTGCGGAGGGGATGTGGGTTAGTGCAGTAACGTTCTCGGCCTGGGTTCAGACACTGGCTTGCAGTGTGGTTCGGCTTTCTCTGTGTTAGATAGAGTAACTGGCAGAAAACCTGCCCGGGATGACTAGCAGAATTTTGCAGAGCTGACAGCCCCTCACTTCCATCAGCAATCAATATCCCAGGCTTCCTCCCTGGATTTAGCATCTTTCCTTTCCTCGCCTGCTCTCCCCAAACTGTCAAAGCAGAGGGGAGCCTGCAGACAGCCAAAGCACAAGCCGGCTTCTCAGGCCTGCTGGACTTATCCCATATCCACAAGTGGTTCCCTTGCAGCCTACAGCATTTGCCCCACAGTTGTTTGTTTGTAGCTGCCCCCGGGTGTGTGTGTTTCATAGACCCTGCACAGCAGGCCATGGTGAGTTCCTGCTTCCTCCCCCCAGCTGCTCTCTCACTCACCGTGTTGTAGTATTCTGCGATGACCTCGGAGTGCTCAAAGTTCCCTTCGCACCAATCCACTTCGGAGGTGAGGTAGGCGAACACGCTGGGCATTTTGGGGCTCCCTCTGCCAAGGGAGAGAAGCGGGTGAGATTGTTCCCAGGGAGGCAGAGTGCTCTGCACACCACTGGGGAAGAGGTGAAACCTGCTCTGCCTGCCCTCCTGCAGCTCTGTTCACATGCACATGCCGCCCCAGCCAGTTTGAGGAAAATACCAGCATCCAAACCCTTAGCCACCACTCTCCTTGTAAAACTAGGGCGTGCCACTGGGTTACAACCAGAGATAAGCCTGGATAAGCCATTCCTCCGCCCTCCTCTTCAGTTAAATCAAACCCAGCTCAGGGGCAGCTCCACACTCTGCAAATGGACGTGACCCTCGTCAGGGTGCAAACAAAAGTCCTGGATCCAAACACTCCAATGCATGGGGAAGTTGGAAATTTGGTCCCAGACCTTATGGCTTGAGCCCATTTCTAATGACAGCAGAGAGGACAGGAGAGGCTGGGCCCCTTTTCCCCACTGCTCCCCTGTTGCAGTTATGGGAAATTGATCATAGGAGCCGGGCGGAGCTCGGCCTAAGGAAAGATGAGAAAACACCAAGGCTGTGGAGAAATTCCTTCCTGACCCCAGATTTGGCAGCCACTGGCGAACACCCAAGGCTAAGTGTCCCAGAGGCCAGATTTCTCCTGCTTGACATTGTCACAGTGTCTGTCAATCTTTGGGACCCTGGAGTGTAACCGACGTCCAGCCAGCTGGTTTCTGTGGCGCTGCGCAGGCATTTGGTCTGCTTGGCTTTCCCAGTATGTGGAATGCCCATTTTTAGAAGGGCGGGGGAGGGGGGTGTGTGTCAGGAAATAAGAGGACCTTGTGGCGCTGTGACCGGCTCTCGGTTTGCACAGTGAGGTTGTGGCTTCACTAGAACCGCTGCAGCAGCACCAACAGAGGGGGGGTGCCCATCCCTGAGAGCCAGTGGACAGGACAACAGAAAAATTCTTCTGTCCACCTAGCACTGTCTAGCCCAAGGATTAGATCACTTTAACCACATCTTACGGGGTGCAGGGCTTTCCCGCTCCCCCTCCCTTCCAGAGTCACCCCAGGGGCGGGTCCTGATCAGAAGACTGATGCATTTTTTAAGCCCTGGACTATATGATGTAAACCTCATGCTGCACCTTGGCACGGGGGTGAAGCCTGAGGAAAATGCCTTCCCAAAGGCCCCAGCAGTGATGTGCTCTTAACAGTGATGGGGCGGGTTTCCCCTGACCATTGATACCTCTAGCATCCCCAAAATCCCATGATGACTGCAGACTGTGTTCTTAACCGGGCAGTGATGGAAAATTCGTCCCCTTTTATCCTGCTTTTCCCCAAAGCCGAGGAATCTCCCGTTCCCAGGGTGGAGACTGTCACTTTCAATGTCCTCTCGTGCTCCTTTGTAAAGGCAGATCTGTGGGGTTTGTGCTTGTTTGCCTCACGTCTAAGAAGCTGAGATACTTCCTGACTCTGGCAGGATAGAAATTCTGTACATCCGGCTGCCTGCCTTTCCTTGGAATGGACCCACCCGGCTTGCTGTGGGATTGTTTGTTTTTAAAGCACCATAAAGTGCATTCTGAGCTCTGAGAAGCCCACTCTTCGTAACTGGCTTACAGATGTGCCCGACCGAGTCATGGGAGCACCCAGGCCTTGCTTTGGATGAGACTTGCGATCAAGACTGTCTCAAAGTGACCTCTGTGGTGCTGAAACAATGCTGGTAGCAAGAGTGCTGGAGGGGGAACCGTGTTTTGGCGTTGTTACTTCTCCTTCCAGCAATGCTAGTTCCAACACCTAGGAGTGACTGATTTGGGGGGGTGTAGCTAGAGATGCCATAAAGGGGCCACATTTTCAGAGCATGATGACTCAGTTTAAGGCATCTCAAGATGGGCAGCCATTAACTGGGACACCCAGAATGACAAAACCTTAGTCGTTGCTCCTAAGTCACATAGTAGGCAAACTCTAAAATGTGGGGTAATACCATCTCACATTCACATGGTGCTTTACAGCTTTGAAATGCCTAATAGGCATTGGCTTAAAAGGTCATTTGATTTCTCTCTTCTTTTAGCCTTTTCCATTTTAATAATTTAAGAGCAAAGGGAAAGGCGTTTTGGGGGAGGGGGAAGGGAGGGGACAATTTGTGTCTTAATTGTCTTCCTTGAAATTAGGGATCCAAATTCTGCTGCCGCTTACACCAGTAAAATCCAGAGTAACTCTGCAGGGTTAATGCACTTTCTCCAGATTCATACTAGTGTAACTGAGACCTGAATTTGATTTATTTGCATCCACATGGGGAGATTCAAAGAGAGAAAATAGGAATATTAAACAAGACTTCACATGACCTATGGTACCGCAATACCAGACAAACGGCTGTGGGGAATTTCCATCTGTTATTTGGCCCCAGTTTAGCCGGCTATGTTTTAAGACACTTCCACCTTAATTAAACTGATGCAGAGTTGAATTCCTCATGTAGCGTGGGAATGCGACTCTGGAAATAAAACAAAGCATTGGAGGAGCCGATTAGTGGGTCCCGTTCTCCAGGGCCCTGCTTTTGGTGTCATGGTTCCCACCAAATAATTCCATCCTCATGTGGCAGCACTTGGCACTCATGTCCGCACCAGTGTCATTGGCTGCACCAGGTGCAGAGTAAGAGAAAATCGGTTCACAGGTAGAGAACTCATGTCCCAGCCCAATAAGCCTCTGTCACCCATTTGCTGGGGGGTGTAGAGGAAGCCCAGATGAAGAAATCCCTGCAGTAAAACAGTGATCGGGAAAAGAAAATTGAAGCAAGTGATTGAATGAAGCTGCAGGTGGCTCGCTCACCTGCTGTTTACTTCTCAGCTGGGTCTAGCTTACCTGCACTTTCCCTCAGCCCACCCCAAGCTGTGTCCACGAGGAGCAGCCAGATGTCAAAAGCCTCCAGGTGTTGCATGGAAGGGTGGCATCTCTCACTGCCTGCCCTGCTGCTGTAGTTCTAAAGGAGCATCCACGAGGGGAAGTCACCAAGAGCAGCCCCAGGCAGCATGAACCGTAGTCACTATTGCTCCATCTCTGGGGAACGCCTGCTCCATCCAGTGCCTGCTCAAGAGACCATGTTGGCTGGTGAGTTTAAATCTCCAAGCCAGAGGGGGGCAGAAAGGGCTGGAGACGGAGAGGCAGATGTATTCAGAAGCCATTTCAAAATTGCTTTGCCCGCATGCATGCAACACCAACATGATAAGATTTTAGTTTCCAGTGATAGAAGCTGTCCTCTTCGGATCTATCGACACGGCTGGTTTTTAAAAATGACGGTTTTCACCTAAACAACAATCAAAATGTTGTCATCGTTTCCATTTTGCAGTTTGAAATAGAATCACATTTTTTTAAAATGTGGTTTGTGACTACCAGATATTTTGTTTAGCAAATATATCATTTTTGATCAACTATTTTTTTCACTAACCAAAAACCCCCAAACAAATAAACTTTGGTTTGGGTAAACAGAATATTTTTAACTAAAAGCAATTTTTATTTTAAATGTCACCAATACTGTGATAAATGAAAACATCCCGGTGTCGCCTGAGTCCTTAATTCATTTTTGTTTTTTTCTTTTTTCATTTCAATCGTTGCTCTGGGGTGGGGCTGGGGCAGAGGGGGTCAGTCTGCAGGTTACCCTGGGGAGAGAGACCAACCCAGCCTTCTTTCAGCACAGCAGCTTGGGGCCAGGTGAGAAGCGCCTCTCCAAGGTGCTACAAGTCCAGCGGGCACACTGGGGAAGGGGGGCATGTTCCCCAGCTGGGGCAGGTCCAGGTTCATCTGCCCCCTGCGCTCCCCAGCCAGAGTGAGGAATGCAGCAAACTGGGCACTTTCCCCTGGCTCCCTGACAAAGGGGAATAGCCAGCAATGTCCCCATATTAATCACGGGAGGGGGAGCTGCAGCCCCCACCACCCTCCCTAAAGGGTGTGAGAGACTCGGGGCTAGGACAGTCCCAGAATTGGGAAAGGGGCACCCCCAGCCAGCCCCTTGCACCTGCCTTGTGAGTCTGTCTCTTTTCTGTGTGATTTTCTGAGCAGCAATCCCATTCCAGGCACGTCTCCTTTTCCCAGCTCAACCAACCCCCAACCTTGCTTTAAGTTCGGCTAAGAGGAAGCTGTGTGCTGAACGTGGTGATCCTAGCTCTTAGTGCTTAGGAGGCGTTCTTAGACAGACAAACTCTCTCCATTGTATAGAACATGTAGCACCCATAAGCCTTAACTGAGCTTGGGGTTCCATTGCGTTAGGCATTGTCCAAACAGCTCCTGTTGAGAAAACATTATTGAACTAGACAAAGGGTGGGAGAGGGAAAAAGAGGCAGAATGAATGTTACATCACAGCAGGACCCTACCAGGGCTAAGAATAGACCATTGGTCTCCTGACCTGCATGCCTGTGCTCTAGCCACTGTGCAGTACTGCCTCCTTTCTGACTGCCTCTCGTAGGTTTCTGTGTATCAGTTCTCACTGCCATGTCTGAGCATTGCACCCAGTCAATGACATATGCAAAGCTGGGATAACATGTTATATGTCTGGTTTTTTTCCTCCAAGGCAGAGGGGTGTGGTTGTTGATTTGGGGGAACTGAACAAGTTCTTCCCCATGAAGGGAAAGGGGCATCCCAGATTCAAACCAAAGTATCACAGGATCGGATTTGCCCACAGAACTAACTTCCTCCCACCCAGCCTTAAATAGCAGAGGCTGAGTGTGTCCAGGCATGTGCGCTGCATTGACAGGGACAGGTCCAGCCAATGAAACCCTGAGTGCTACCTATTCCCCACTTCTGGGCCTGCTGCTTTCCTTAATTAGGAGAGCTTCTGCTTTCCCTGAGTTCAGTCGCTGCAGGTGATATGACCAACATTCCCTCTAACCTCATCCATCCATGTGTGGAATAATTTTATGTGCACTGAGGCATGTGAAGATGTGCACCACCAATAGAAACAAAAACCTAGCTGTGCACTCTCTGCTAATCATCTGGGTGATATCTGAATTTCTCCTGAGCAGCTGCACAAGTGCCCGCCTTACAGGGAACACTGGCTATGACCAGGTAGTGTTGTTGCACTGTATTTTAGAATACTCAGCATACCCAGTATCTAATGCTTTTTATTCATGAGAGCAGTGGAGCAGGGAGCGTGCCTTCTCTTCTGTTTGGAAGCCACCTGGCACACTGTAGTCCTAGTGGAAATAATACAAATAATGAATAAAA